GGTGGGCAGAGCTTTTTTTACTCCTCAGACAGCTGCACCACCAATTTGTGGTGGGAGTGCTGGGATGGGTCGTTTTTCTACCTTCTAATTTCACTGTCCTGCTGCCCCGTGCTGGCCACAGGCACCACTCCTCCCAGCCTGCCTCAGCCCCAGCCAGGATCAGGTCTCATGGCTCCTCCAGTTTATCAGGGTTTGCATTTTCCCAGGTACTTTGGGGGGAACAACACTGTGGCTCAGCCAGTGCTTACCTGCATACTCCTCTTCTTCCTCTGCCACCTCCACCTGGCTCTGCAGGAAGGCAGCTCTCGATGGCTCCATCTCTGATGTTGACACTTCCATTGATCTCCCACGGGACTGGGGCCCACCCAGCGCAGTGTAGGGATGCTCAGCTGTCCCATAGAAGATGAGGCTCCACTCCTTCAGCTTCCCTGTGGGGCAGGAGCAACAACACCCATCTCATTCCCCACCTTGTTCCTCTCTGGAGAGCTCAGTTTTGGGGGAAGCAGAAGATCCTTCTGGACTGGACCATCAAGGTGTCACCACTGACATGTCAATGCAGAAGCAATGAAGAAGTGAACACCCAGAAATGTACATGAGACCCTGAGCTCCCAGCCCACACAAATGCAGCTGTTTAGGGTACCTACAAGGAATTTTTCATTCTATAACTCATCTGATGAACTGCAGGATCACCATAGCTATGTGTCCAACATTGGAGAAAACCAGTAACTTTTTAAGCTGCATAACAGAGGATTATGTCTGTCTGATAAAAGCCACCTGGTACACACTGGATTAGTTCTTGCTGTTGTTGCTCCAGACATCCCTTTGCCTGACATATCAGAGGTCTGAACTTGGTGTCCCCTGAAACAGTCACTGGAGCCTTTGCTGCACCTGAATAACCTCCCCAAGGCCTTACACCCACACTAAGACCCTCCACAAGCCACGTGGCTTTGAGGAGAGAGTCCAAAATTGCTGCTGCTCCTTTCCAATGCTGTTTTTCTTTCAATTCTCCATCGATGCAAGTCACTTCACGCCTGTAGTGTGCTCAGCTTTAGCTCTTAATCCCTGCATTTCCAGGAAGGGTTTAAAATTTCCAACACCCAAATCCCTTGGCTCTCCCAAAGGGATGAGAAGACCCACCTGCTGCACTGAGCAGTGCCAGCATGGAGCCAGCACCACCACGGAGCCTGCAAAGGGCTGAGCTCCCGCAGCATCAGCCAGGGAAGTGCTCCGCCACGTGCCGCCACCAAAAGAATTTGATTTGCTTTAAATCCAAAATATCCTATGCGAGGAAAGCCCAGGCTGCATAGGGCAGACATGGGCATGCAGCAGTACCAGTGACAGGACATTCATAGTATTTAATTGGTATTAAATTCACCAATGTAGTGGCATTAAATAAAGATTTAACACCCATTTCTTCTGTAAGTATCATATAATCATAGAAATTGTAGAATATTAAGAGGTAGGAATGGAGCTTAGAGATCATCTAGTCCCAACCCCTGCCCTGGGCAGGGACACCTCCCACCAGAGCAGGTTGCTCAAGGCTTTAGCCAACCTGGCTGTGAACACTGCCAGGGTTGGGGCAGCCACAGCCTCCCTGGGCAACCTGGGCCAGTGTCTCACCACCCTCACAGGGAAAAGCTTCTTCCTAATATCCAATCTAAATTTCCCTCTTTCAATTTGTACCCATTCCTCCTTGTCCTATCACTGCAGTTCCTAACAAAACATCTTTGCCCTCTCTGCTTCAAATCCGGTGCAGATCCTTTGAGGGTGTGGCTTAACGTGCTCGTTTTCATTTGATTTTGCCGAGCCAGGTAAAGCCAAGCTCTGATGCCTGCAAGGGGCTCAGAAACACCCACCACAGACTGTAAATACCAGGGGAAAAGCAGCTCCGTGGGCGCTTTGCTGCTGCTCTCTGAGTTCAAAAGACTTAGGGTGAAGGCAGCAAACAGAAACACTTTCCACACAATGAACCCCCACGTGCACCTCCCGCCAGAAAGTCGCGTGGGAGATATTTTTAATATACTCCTGGATTCCTATCAATGATTGTGTGGATTTAACACCCCCACAAGACACGCCAGCCCCAGGCAGGATGCTTCATGCCCTGCTGCCACCAGCCAGCGAGGCAGCTGCCCCTTCCTGGTGGGGCCAGTTCCCACCAGCACAGCTCCTTGGCTGGGATGAGGTCAGGGAGCAGGTGGCCAAGCCAAGCAGAGGGGGACACGGTGGGGTTGGGGATATATAGGGGTCCAGGCTGAGCCCAACCACCCCCCACCAACACAGTCGCAGCCCAGGGAGGATGTCCATCCGTCTGCAGCCTGAGGGGCATTGTCCCCTTGCATCGTTGCACAACCAGCCCACACGCCAGATGTCCCAGCAATGAAGCAAAACAAACAAACAACAATTACAGCTCTTGGGTTTCCTCATTTTGACTCATTACAGTTTAATTTTGGAAACCTGGCTCTCGGGTGCAGTGAGTTTTGCTGCCCTTGGGAGAAAACCCACTCCCAGCTCAGCCAGACCGACAGCCTCCTGTGCTCAGAGCTGATGTTTTGTTCCCATTTTTGAAATATTTGGGCAATCAGTTTTGCTGGAGACCATAAAATTCACAGCCAAACAAAGCAGTCTGCAAGGAGTTTGGGGATTGAGGGGAACTGGTGGTCACAGGGGGATACGGGTGCCGGGGGACCCTTACCTTGCACGGCAGGGTTGCGCACTTGGGATGGTGTGTCATGGATCTCCAGGGTCCACTCCCCTGCTGCTCGCTCCCCCCAGCAGTGGACAGTCATGAACTCCCAGCCCTTGAACCCCTCGTTGGAGTGGTCAAACACCCTGCAATGGGAATGCACCAAGAAACGTGACTTTGAATGTCAAATTTAATTGGAAAAGGTAAATGGGTAATTAAGGGTTTAGAGATCATTGCATTCACACACCCTCGCATGGAGCCCTTCTGCAGTTGAGACCTGGACATGCCCCCACCTTCCCAAAAAGCCCAACAAAACTTCCAGCAACCCCCTAAAGGAGGATGCTGCCCAGCTCAGACACATCCTGGGTCCAACCACTCTTACCTCCTGGCGAGAAGCTGCGACCTGGTCCCTGCTGGAGAGATGAGGCTGATCTGGAGGTCTCCTCGGCGCTGGTGGGAGATGCTGAGCCGCACCACGACATGCTCTAGGTAGAGCACGTGCTGGTCACGGTGCTCAGCACAGGCACTGCTGAGGGTGCTGGCACGCAGCACGTGGTCTGCTCGGATGTACCTGCCAGGGATGGGCAGAGCTTCATGATGGGGACAGCAGTGAATCTGGTTCCCAGCAGCGTGGACACCCAATTATACTTGAACTCAGTTTCCTACTGCTTCACAGCAAAAATTATCTCATCCTCCACTGCAGTTCCCAGTGTCCTAGCAGAGGAATTTGCTGAATTGCTGGATGGTAACGAGATGGGTTCGAACTGCTTCGAAGATCTATGCCTTATGGGCTGCAAGGGCACTGCTTTATTATAATTATCAGTGCAGCACTCCTCTTTGGGCTGTAATTAGTGTCTGTATCAGATAAATAGCTTCATGAACGCACTTGGCTCCACATTCATCCCTGCTTTGCATATGCAAGTCTTCCAAAGACTCTTCTGATGAACAGCTCTCTCACTCTACAGCCAGGCAGTGGTAAATCAGGCAGGTCCATTTGGTCAGATCCCCGATCCCTTTAACCTAGCAGGGACTGACCTACCAAGGATGAGATGTGAACCTAATCTGGTTTGAACCAAATTCAAATACACTAGAAATTTGGGAAGGTTTGCAACAAAGCACCAGTTTTTGGTGTCTTCCATCAAGACAAAGTGTTTGGGGGCAAAGGATGAAGAGATCAAGTCATCACTGCTCATGTAGGACCCAACAGACAAGTTGTGTTTGGTCTCTCACTGTCAGCTCTCAAAAATTCCCTGTTGGTCACCCATCTGGGAAGCACAATCATGTGAAAGGGCAAAAATAGATCACCTATCATCAAAGCTGGTCCCAGAGCAGGGACCTGAGCTTTACCAAGCCATAGGCATGGACCCAAATGGGCACATCTGAGTCAATAAACAGATCTTGGGGTGGATGGTGTGGATCACTCCGACTGTAAAATCCATGGGCACCACCTTGTCTGCACATGGGTTTGTCTCAGCCACCCTGACTGCCAATTTCTCTCTGCAAATGCTGAGATGGCAGCTGAGCCTTTGCATCACAAGAGCTAGCTGCACCAGCCCTTCCAAGCATCTGCATGTCCCAGGAGAACATCCCACCCCACAACACTCACTTGGGCACCCTGTCCAGGCTTCCCACACAGACGTGCTGGGGAGGAACCATCTTCCACTTCTTGGCTTCCACCACAACAGCATCAGCATCCACCAGCCCAAAGCCATATAGATGGCTAACTGGAAAGAGAGAAGACTCAGAAACCCACTGCCTTCCAAGCAGGGTCAGGAGTTCCTCCTGAATTCTTGGCTGGAGCATCAAACCATCGGGGAAGGTGCAGAGTTGACCCCGTTGGCATATGAGGTGCTTCAACACATGGAACTAATCTCCCTGCCCAAGTTACATCCCAAACTGGCACCATGGAAAACCCATTGTTGGGAGTAGCCCACTGAAAGGAGCAGGAAGCACTGCAGCTCAGGAGAGCCTCCACTAAGCAAGACTTCTAACCCTCCACCAAGCAAGACTTCCAAGCATCTCACCCCATGAATTACTGCCCTGTCCTTCCTCCATCGCCAGAGGCAGCTGAGAGAGGCCACCCAAGGTGAACACTCCCATGAGCAAAGCTCTGGAGACCTTTATTTTCCCTTGGTTGTCCACTTTCCCCATGCCACCTCCATCCCCACAGCCCCTCACCTTTATGCCCTGCACCATTGGTCTTCCAGTCAGCCGCTCGCAGGTGCCCTGGCCGTGAGGTTTTGACCAGCAGGTGCTGAACATCCCTCCAGGTGAGCAGGGGGCTGCAACAATATGTGGCTCATGGGATTGCTCTGCTGCTCCCAGTCTTCCCAGCAGCAGCAGGGACTCCCATTGAGTTAAAAAAAACCCCAACCAAACAAAACAAACAACTACAAACACACCCCCCTTTCCTGCTCAAAAAAACCAAGAATTGATGATTTAAATGCTGACACCCTGCCTGGAGGTTGGTCATCAGTTGGGGAGCCTAGGCAGAGAGGGTGGACCAGAGAGGGATGCCGTGTGCCCACAGGTATTGCAGGATTTACTCCTGGATAAGGCAATTTAGATCTCATGCTCTGAGGTAGAAATGGAGCACATCAGGAAGGTTTTCCCCTCATTTTCATGTAGGAGAATGAGAACGAAGCACATCCCAAGGCAAGGTACTGGGCTCAGCAGCTCACTGATACATGATGCTGAGCAAACCTTCCCTTTATAGGAATAAAAATTGCTGGGAAAAAAATCCATGTATTCTTCATTTAACAGAAAAATGAAACCCAAATTGTTTCCACCTCCCCACCCAGACTGGATCTGTGTGTTCAGAGTGCTGGACACTGAGTGCTCTGTGCTTCTGAGCCCCTCCAAGACCCCAGCCCAGGGAGACTGCTGAAGAATTTTCCATGTTTTTCTTACAGTCAGTTCCTCAGCATCTCGAGCTGGGATTTATATTGCTCTCGAGCAACATTTAAGGAAAGAAATTCAATTTATTCTCTCCTGTCATAATGGAGTGCCTGAGCACCAAGCTCTGGTACTTAATGTTGCATTTTATGCCTCAGCTAAACAATTCAAAAATTACATCTAAAGCTTTTAATATATTTGTAATGAAAAAGGCATCTCCGGAAATATGCTCACCCGACCTGGGCGTTGGGATTAAACTGGAGGAGGAAGACTGGAGCCACGATCACCATTCCCAGATGAGAGTGCAGTGCTGCCCTGAGGCTTATTCCCAGCCTTTATTTTATTTCCACTCCATAAAAATAATAATAAGCTCATAAGAAGATGCTTCATGAAGCAACACGGGGATGCCCAAGGGCTGTTCCTGGACTGGGGGACTGTAATGGGACCAGGATGGGACTGGGAATAGGACTGGGACAGGGATAACAGGCAAAGAGCAGCTTGTTTGAACCAGGGAGTGTATCACTGTTGGTCAAGCTATATGAGTTTTTGGCATTATGCAAAAGTAGTCCTTTTCCTCCAGAAATACAACACTTGCTGAAAATCATCACTTCTATGGACATTTCCCATTTTCTGTGATGTTCCTGACATTTATTTTCCAGGAAGTATTTATAACCCCCCTGTTGGAGCTGCTGTCAGCAGTTTCAAGACACCAAACAAAAAGCCTGACTTCTCTCACCAACCCCAGCTTTTCAACAGATGGCAACAAGTGAATAATTAGCTCAATAAAACACCTGTGGGAAGATTAGATGCAAAACAACAACTCTGGGTCAAACCTTGCCAAAAAGGAGAGATTGAGAATAACTTGGTCCCGTTTCGAATTGTTCCAGAGGCAAAAATCCCACCTTGTTTCTTTCTGGTTTTGTTCACCAGGTACTAAATGTAGTAGCATTTCTCCCGGAGAGGTTACACTTACTTTGCCTCCAAAGCCAAGGCGATGATGCCTGCGACCATGGGGGCAGACACGGAGGTGCCAGTGTGGCCATCTGTGCAGCGGTGCCGGAGATCTGTGGTGACCTGTAGAGAGAGGAGATGCAGCCCCTGAGATGCTCCCAGCATGGGCACTACCCCATTCAGTCCCCCAGGTTTGCTTGGGATGCTGCCAGTGGGGAGCTGAGCCTGCTGGTATCCAACCCCTGCCATGGCTCCCATGCCATCAGGGTGTCCAGAGCCTCAAACTGGGCTGCAAATACATTTGGTGCATGACAAAACACCTCTGCTTACATTTTCCTTTGAACAAAGGTGCAAGAATTATTTGAAAGGGACAGAAACATCACTTTTGCTGTGGATCAGCTGGAGGAAGAGGCAGATGGAGTGGTGTGAACAGGGCAGAGCAGGCATGGGTACATGTCCACGGGTGCATGTTGGGCTGTGCCACATTAAATCCTTTCCTTAAAACTTCCAGCTCCTGCTCTTGGGCAACAATTTCCATTTGCATAGGAAAAATAAAAGCCATTTCCAGCTTGTTTGTTACAGGACAGAATGTGATGTTTGGGTACCAAAAGCTCTGAGAGAGAGGTGGGCCAAGAGATGCTCTGTCTCATTTTCAAAAGGCTTCTGAGTTGTGAGTTAATCTGGTGATTTCTGGAGGGGGAGGATGAGCCAGCCAGTCCCAAGGAGTCCCTGAAAGCTACTCTTTTTTCCCAGCTTCAGTAGCACTGGAGTGGTGCTGGCCTCAGCCATGCAAACACTCCTGAGTGCCAAGAAAATGGCACTTAGATTCTGTTTTCTGGCTGCAAATTCATTTCTTAGCAGCCAAAGAAATCACTCCTGAAAAGGAAAAAAGAAAAGTATTTACTTGTAAAAAAAACACCCATATTTTCTGTCAAAACAACTCATTTGGGTGGAAAACTCTCCCAGCCTGGTTAAGCTGACATGGTGGTGGGTGATGTTTTACTGCCCAAGGTTCAGGTGATGCACAGAGATGTTGGTAAGGAACAGCCTTGGTACGACAGGACCACAGCAGCTGTTGGGGCAGTGCAAATATAGCCTGGGAGGCAGGGAAGATTGGTCTGATCCACATGTGCACATACTTTCAGGCAATTCCTGGGCTCCAAAAAGTCTCTGCTCCCCATTTTGGGTTGCCACATCCCTGCCAAATGCCTCCGTCCTCCCTCTTTTTTCTCTAGCAGGCTAAAAGTCTTCAAAATTCACTATTTTTTTTATACAAGGGACAGTGATCAAGTGCTAAGGGTGACAGGTAAATATTTACACTGGTATTTTTGCAAACTTCCAGCCTTTTCACCCATTCACCAGGGAAAACATCACATCCCTGAGCTCTGGATGACCAGAGCTCCAACGACCAGAGCAAAACCCACTGCAGAGCTAAGGACACAGCATGGCTCTTACAACTGAGCCATCACCCAGCCCAGCCACACAAAAAACATCCAGGAGATGTTGCCCCACTTGATTTTGGGGTAAAACTCACTATTTTCCGCTCGTAAAAAGCTCCACTGCTGTAGGTGGTGGCGAGGGTGGAAGCACATTCCTCCAGGTACCAGGGCTTGTAACCGTTCTCGGTGGTGCTGCTGATGGAGATGGTGTAGATACTGTTGGTGTAGCCATCACAGGAGCAGTAATCACCCTCTCTGCCGCCGTTCCCTGATGCCCAGATGAAAATGGACCCCAAACCCCTGCGACCCTGCGGGCAGAGAGGAGATGGAGGGTTTAGAGGAGATGTTTGCCCAGGATGAGAGGCCATCTCAGCATAGGAGGAGGAGGTAAATCTGAATTTTGGGTCTGGGCATAGGGTTTGGTTAGGGTGGAAGGATGAGTCCCATCTTGCCCAGCGCTCAGCCCCCTGGATCAGCACCCACATGTGCCCCACAGCTTAGCCAGCCCCACTTTACCAATAGCAATGCCCCACAAGGATAGGAGAGTCTCCAGCAATGAGATTTCAGCATTTTTCACAGGCTCTCCTCAGGGAAAACCTCTCAGGTGCTCAGAGCCCCTGGACCAGGCTGTAACACCCAGCATGGTGCTTTTTGGGGTGCAGAGATGGCCCTGCAGGAGCAACCAGCAGGGAACCCTCCAAACCCCTCATCTTTTGAGCCAACAAAGCCCCTTGTGAACCCACACAAACCACCAGAAACCTTCCCCCTGCCTATGCTTTAGGTTCTTTTTGTTCCTCAGCACTTGGCAGGAACATCTGCTGGAGCTGTACCCACCAGGAGCAGCTGCAGGAGCCCACTGGGAACTGGTGGGGTGGGAGAGGTGCATCAACTGCCCAGACCTCCCTGGAGCTGGGGAAAATCCCACCTGGCAGTGCCACCTGTGGTGCCAGAGAGGGGCCCCTAGTGAAGGCGATAGCACCGGGGTGAGACCCGTTCGCCGCTCAATCCAGTCCACGGCCAGGACACCCAGGAATAACCCAGCCCAAACAGGGTGCCGCCAGCCCCAAACGGAGGATTTTTGGTGATCCCAGGAGGTTGGGGCAGGAAATGAAGTGGCTGGTTCCCTTCCGTGCCCCACAAGGCAGGGCTCTCCGGGGAGGGTGGCGCGCTGCCGGGCTTGGCAGGCGATGGAAGCACACGAGCAGCTCCATCCTCCCCGCGGCTACTCCTGCCACCAAGAGATTTCGGGGCTCGCCTGGGCAGATCTGGTGTTTACCTCCCTCCCACTGCTCTGCAGCAGCTTCCTCCACAAAAAATAATACTAATAATAATAACAAAGCAGCTCTGCTCTGGAGGAATTCACTGGGATTTATTGTGGGCTTTAAACGCTGGGGGGAGCAGGATGGTTTATTACCTGTCTCGCCCCCCTCCTGGAGCTGAGGCTCTCAGAGCTGACCCTGCCTCTGGATACACAGCCTAAGTCAAGCTCTTCCCTTACTTTATGAAAGTTTTCATTATCTGGGCTGCCTCCCAGCCAAACTGGGTGGGTATTTCCCTAGTGAAGATTAATAGAGCTGTCTGGAGCTCTGTAAGAAAAAGTGCAATTGCCAAGGGAATTATTGCCCTGCTCTGTGTCATGGAGAGCTCGACCCAGCTGGTCAGCCCACCAAGCCTGCTGCTGACATCTCCCATCTCACTTTCCAGGGTTTCCTGGACCTCTGAGGTGGCAGCATCCCAGTCCACGTGCTCAGTGCAGACAGTGACTGTCTAGCCTTCCCATACCAAAATCCATCCAGCTCCAAGGATGAGCCCCACTGCATGCAACCCAGGCTGTCCCACATCACTCATCAGAGCAATAAAACAAGACACTGACTGCTGAAGCATGCAGAGACACAGCAATGATTTCGATTGGGATCAGTGGACGGGGAGCACAGACCTCTCTTGCATCACAGACCCTGAGCATCACAGCCACAGAAGCTGAGAAATTCTGCTTGGTCCTGATCCAAACCCACATCCCTGCAATGTCCAGGCAGGGGCTGCACTGGAGGAAAGCAGGTTTGGAGCCAGTATGGTTGCATGAGGACATGAACAGGCACATCAGTGCATGAATGACACTACAGCAATGCACATCGAATACCTGACAGCACTTCTGGCAGAGCAAGAGCTCACCATGAATTGTGATGATCCAATTCACCCTTGGATTGGAAAAATCCACTCAAACAAGAAACCACCAGAGCAGACCCTGAACACACAACTTCTTCATCTGCCATCCTCCTAAACCAACACCATGCCAGAAAGGGGCTCCTGGCTGCTGTAAAACCTGGATCTGGGCACCATTTAAACCAGGGAATCCCTCCCTGGCCAAGGCTGGGGATGATCCAGCTCACCCCAGTGGCTCATTGGTTGGCTGTGGGACGCACAGCATCTCCTGCTTCCGCAGCACAGCAGGGCCTGGGCGTGTGCCCAACGGCACTCCATGAGAGACCAGGATAAATATCCCCTCGTTAGCTTGGGAACTAATAAAGTGTAGCTGGAGGAACATGAAATAAGATGATAAATTACTCCAGCGCAGTCCTATCACTAATAGATAAAGGTTATTTTAATGTTTCCATTAAAAACTCAATTTTAAGGATTTATAACTCAGTTACAGCTGTTTGCTCGGGCTAAAGGTGGTGGTTAACTATCTGCTTGCAGCTTTCCTCGTCATTTAAGGAGAAGAAGTTGGCAATTAAGAGCTGTGCATGTAGGATAGTGGGTGCCACAAAACAAGGGGTGGCAGTGAGGCTCTCCTAGGAGGCAAAAACAAGCATCCCAAAACAGTGGGGCTGTGCTGGGCAAGTACCCTGCTGCTGCCTATTTGCTCCTGCATGGAAAAATAAGGTCTAAAAAGCAGCTTGTTCCCCCGTATTTACATGGCATGAACTCCCCGGCACTTCAATGGATTCCTCGGCAGGCTCACTGCCCCAGCAGGAAATCAAGTCAACAGTGGGAAAAACACTCCACCCTATTTTTAGATAAGAGGGAGGCTGCTTGCCCCAGCCTGTGGCTGTCCCAAATCCCAGTACACTGTGAGAAGAGGCAGCAGAGGCAGGAGTGGAGGAAGGGGTTGAAGTAGGGGGGTTCACGGCCCAGCCTGGGACTGCTGGCAACAGAACTTCATCCCCAGATTCTCTGAAGCACGTGGGGAATGCCCACTGCAGAGCCTGGAGCTGCTGCAACACTTACCCAGCACCCACTGAGCTGCCAAGAAAGGTCTTTTTCCAAATGCTTTTAGCCAGTATCAGGCACTTTTTAAAGTGCCCAAAGGGAGAAGGGACATGGCAAGGCCAGGGCATCCCCAACAGGGATTGATAGCTGTCAATCATACATGATGACAGCTGAGCTCTCTCACTGGAGGGTTTCAGGGACAATCATCTGAATTTTTCCTGTGCACCCATGGCCAGATCCTGTGATGGCACCTGTGTCCCTCCCCAGCCATGACACAGCCACTGCTTCCAAACAGAAAACCAGGGAAAGGCATACTGGGATGGAGAACACCGAGAGAGGGAACCAGAGGCCAGGGGAGTTGGAGATGTCATGGGGGGTGGCTGCTTTCATCCATGCCAGCACCTGGGGGGACATTTTGAGGTGTAAATCACCCCTTCAAGAACCACTTTGGGTTTCTCATCCCGGCAGAGCTTTGCAACACAACCTGGGCCCTGCCTGCTCTGCCGGGGCTCTGCCCGGCGCCCGGCACTGCCGGATGCTCCCGCCAGGGCCAACCATCCCAAGGGGTCCC